TATGTGGCCTTCTTTGAGATTGGACCAGGCCCTATTCCATGGTTTATTGTGGCTGAACTCTTTGAACAGGGACCACGCCCAGCAGCCATGGCAGTGGCTGGTTGTTCTAACTGGACCTCCAACTTTTTGGTTGGACTGCTCTTTCCCTCAGCTGCAGTAAGTAAATTCAAACAAAACAGCTTATCTTAACCAACCCACTTAGGTCAATACGTTTAAGTTACATCTTAATAATTATTACTGACCCGTGAAGGATTAGATCTCAAGTGCTTTAAATCAGTTTTTTCTCATTTTTATGAAAAATAGAAAAATAAATAACAAAAGATTAAAGCAGGAGGGCAAAACTGGGAACTTTGTTTTTGAAACTAGGGATTGATCCCAGGGACACTCTACCACTGAACTACATCCTTGGCCCCTTTTGTTTATTTTGAGATAGGGTCTCACTAAACTGCCGAGGCTGGCCTCTAATTTCAGGCTTAATATGGAAATTTTTAAAGACCACTATCCTGAGATGATGTTTGTTTGCCTAAAATCAGAATGATACTGAGCCTCAAAGGATTCCAAATCCATTCTTAATTCATAATTTGAATTAGCATTAATGACTTCATGATTTGAAAATGCTTAGTAGGAGGCCAACCTCAGCAGTACACACACCTATAATCCCAGAATCTCTGGAGGCTGAGACAGGATAGAAGGACCTGCCTGGGCAATTAATTTAGTAAGACCTTGTCTCAAAAAATAAAAAGAGCTAGTGGTGTAGCTCAGGGGTAAAGAACCCCAGGTTCAATCCCTAGTACTTTGCATATTAATAAACGAATAAATGGTTGGAGGTATTGGAAAGCAGCTAACTTTAGTGAATAGAAAATGAACAATAAAAAATTGCAGAGAAACATAGGAAGTTAGCAATGGCATCGTGAAGGAATCTCTGAAGAAACCTTGCATTAAATTACCATTAAATATAGAGGGGCTTGAGGCCTATTAGAGACATAGATGTGAAGGATATCATCAGTGACCAGATTTTTACGTGAACCTTCCTTTCTTTTTTTTTTTTTCCTTTTTCTAGGCCTATTTGGGAGCCTATGTTTTTCTTATCTTCGCCGCTTTCCTCGTTATCTTCCTGGTCTTCACCTTCTTCAAAGTCCCTGAGACCCGAGGCAGGACTTTTGAGGATATCACACGGGCCTTTGAAGGGCATGGTAATGAGTCCAATAATAGAGCTGGGAAAGGCTCTGTGGGGGAGATGAACAGCAGCCAGCCTGCTAAGGAGAATACCACCAATGTCTAGTCAGACCTCCTTCCACCTCTCTCCCAACATGGAAAGCAACCTCTCCCTGAATAGAGAGAGAAACTTCATCAGGATGAACCCAGGACTGCTTCCGAATGCTGCTACTTGATTCCCTTCTCATCCCTCATACTTCTGAACACTCAGATGAGCCCAGTGTTGGGGTTAGTCAGATCTTCAATGCTTTTTAAATATTTCATTTCTTGGACATTCTCTTCTGTTTAGGAGAGACCAAGTGAACCGACCTTCTTCATTTCAGGAGGGATTGGCTGCTTGGCATATGACAACGTTGCCAGCTCTTCTTCCCTTAGGTTCTAATGCCTCACTGGGGCACATAGGGGAGTAAAGAGTTAGGGTGCAGTTCCCCCAACCTCAGACTTGTCAGGAAGCAGATATACATAGTGTGGAGGGTTATGGGGAATTAAATAAGAGCACCTTCCTCACTTTCACACAGCTCTGCACAGCAAAGTAACTTGAGTTTTATTTATTTTATCTTCTGGTTTTATTGCATAAATATTTATTTTTTTAAGTGTAAAGTAATTTTACCAAATAATGAAAATATAAGGAAATAAAGGTTAGAGAGAGGTGTTTAAAGAGGTTCTAGGGCAAAGACAATTTGATACTGGAGAGGTACAACAAGAAGGAAGAATTGAGGAAGAAATATCTGTTGGTGGAGGGTATGTGAAATGGTGCCTGAAATCTGCATGTTGCCTAATGACAATGTGTTTCAGACAGAAATTTAGTTTGATTTCTCAGTCATGTGCCTGTATAAAAAAGCTACTGGTTTCCTTTGGGATTTTTCTTTAAGATTATAGTTTATAGTATTACTTGAAATCTAATGTTTATTAAGATGGGTGTTATAGTTAATGGCGGTTGATGGGTTTTAATTTTGGATGGAGTCCAGAGAAGGGAAGGATGTTTATTTGCAGAAAGCCTTCCTAGTCCAAACAACTCCTTCCCCTGATAGTGGACTCATTTGCTTTAAGTAATCCCATCACCTATCTGGCAGAGCCCTCCAAATGAGAAACAAAATTGGTTACTGCTTAGGTGTTCGGTATTTCTTCACTTTGTTCTTTAAGATTTTATGTTTTAACTTGTTTTAAAGGGATTAAAAGGAAAATGTTTATAGCTAAATTGGAATTTGTAACCTCAGCTCTGGGAGAGGGTTTTTTATTTTTAATTTTTTTTAAACAATTATCTAGTTTTAGTATTTTTGCTCTAAGGTCATGGCATGCCAGTCTGTGTCTGTTACGTGTCAAAATTATCCTATTACCATGTTACCCTGATACTATATCAGGTACCCTTAGGGGACTTGAATCTTTCTGATAGACACATTTGAAATAGTATGAGTAAATGTACAGTGTAGCCCACACTTGAGAGAATATGAATGTATGTGCACTGTCACTTTGCTCTGGTTGAAAGTAGTTTATTGTTCCTTTGTTCCTATAGTCTTCTTTTGGATCGACTGTATTAAAACTCATCCCTATCTACATAGGTAACACTGCCTCTGCTGGGTGGAACTTTAGATTTCTGGTTCATCTGGCTACCTTTCCCTATTGGAGTGGAGGACAGCTTCTACATCTTGAGGTTGAGGGTGGAGGAGGGTTCAGCCTTACTACAGATGGGAGAGACAATGGGAATAGGAAAGAGTGTAAGATCAGGGCATGTGGCTCTTGGGGATTTTGGATATGGGAAGAAGGAGGCATTCTCTTAAGAGAAACAAAGGAAGACTGGAGTGTTTCAGAGGGTTAGAGATGGTGAGATTTACTCCTGCCCCATAGAGGTCCTGGACACCTCCACAATCATCTCCAAATTCCCCAGTACATTTGTAAGTGGAAATTGGCCCTGATGACACTCAGCCTCTTCCCTTTTTCATAGGTTGCCTGATCTCCCTTCCCTCTTTGGTGCTTACTCATGTCAGACCCTTTAGCCAAACCCTTGCATATAACAGTATTTTACTCTTCAGTTCTCATCATTCCCTCTGGTCATTGAGCCTTTAGAAGAAAATTCACATAGCTATGGAGCAATGCTTTGTTGGAAAAGGGGACTTACCTGACTTTACCTCTTCTGGCTCCTCAGTGCGTTGGCAGTTAAGCAGCGTAGAACTTCTCCCACTTTTCAATGACCAGGTTGTGAATATTTCCATATGAATTTTCTATTAATGTTATTGTGGTTCTTTGTTTTGAAATAAAAATTCTGAATGTACAAAAAAAAAGAAAATGCATATGAAAACCACCAATATAACTATACAACTAAAACAAGGATAATGATGCTGAGTGCTGGAGAGGATGTGGAGGAACCAAATCACTGGTATATTGCCAGTGGGGATATTAAGATAGCACAGGCACTCTGTAAATTTTGGTGTTTCTCCAGAAGCTAAACATTGCACCTAAGATATGAACCAGCAATATGAACATTTATCCTTGGGAAATAAAAACTTAGGTACACACAAATACCTGGGCAGGAATGGTGGTAGCAACTTTATTTGTAATCACCAAAAATTGACAACCACCCAAATTTCCAATGAGTGAATGGTTAAAATATGGCACATTTGTACGGTAGAATACTATTCAACAATAAAAAAAAATGATCTGATACAACAACTTGGCTGGATCCTCAGGGCAATGAGTGGGAAAAAACAAATTTTCTACACTTTGCATACTACAAAATTTCATTTAGAAACCAATCTTGAAATGATAAAAGTATGGAAATGGACGGATTATAATTTCCAAGGACATAGGGACAGGCAAGAGAAATGGGGAAGGGTATTCCTAGTTTGACTATGTATACATATTATAGATGTTATATGTACTTTACATGTAATGCATATATGGTGAATATGATTCATCTATTGCATAATTTATATTATACTTTATATATTGTTACATATACAAAGGAATTACACAAAGGAAATCTTTTTGGTAATGGAACAATTCTGCATCTTGTAGTGGTTGCATATAACTATACACATATGCATATGTGCATATGAAACTGGTAAAATCTTAAGAAGGTATGTGGATTGTACCAAGGTCAATTAAAATGTATTTATAGTCAAATAAAATGTGAGGAAACTGGGTTAGGGGATATAGGGCTTGTTTCTACTGTTTTGCAACTTCCTGTGAATCAATTATCATTTTAAAATAGTTAAAAACTTACCCATCCACAAAAGCATTTGTTATAAAATTATCAAAATTTGTAATAATTGTTACAAACATTAAAATGAAAATTAGTTTTATTTGAGTCAATAATGAGATGATTTTGAAAATCAGCTACTTATAATATTGATACTAGTTTTTCCATTGTTTTAACTTATTCCATTGATTAGATTAATGTTAGGTATGGTATCATTAAGTTTTGATACATAGAAATTGCTTTTCTTCTGTATAGTCAGTCCTTACTATTTGAATATTCTGTATTTTTAATTTTTCTACTTGGTAAAATTCATAATCAGTACTCAGTAGTGCTTTCTTTTTTTTCTTTTTTTTTAAGGTAGACTCTTGTGGGCTTTATTTTATTTATTTTTATGTGGTTCTAAGGATTGAACCCAGTGCCTCACATGTGCTAGGCAAGTGCTCTACCACTCAGCCACAACTCCAGCACAGTGCCTGTGCTTTTTTATTTGTAAGCCAAAATTGATAAACAATGCTTCCACGGATGTGTGGATAGCAGCCCAAAATTTGAGTTGCCCAGTGCACATGTTCTCAGGTAAGGTCAGATAAGGGTAATG